TTAGGGTATAGGGTATTTAGGGTTTCGGGTGTGGGGTTTAGGGTTTAGGGTTTTAGGGTTTCGGGTTTCGGGTTTAGGGTGTTTCGGGTTTAATTAGGGTTTAGGGTTTAGGGTTTCGGGTTCAGGGTTTTTAGGGTTTAGGGTATTTAGGGTTTCGGGTGTCGGGTTTAGGGTTTAGGGTTTTAGGGTTTCGGGTTTTTGGGTATTTAGGATATAGGGTTTCAGGTGTCGGGTTTAGGGTTTCGGGTTTAGGGTTTAGGGTATTTAGGGTATTTAGGGTTTAGGGTTTCGGGCTTAGGGTTTAGGGTTTAGGGTTTTTTAGGGTTTAGGGTGTCGGGTTTAGAGTTTAGGGTTTAGGGTTTAGAGTTTAGAGTTTAGGGTTTAGGGTTAGAGTAGTGAATAGGTCTTGTACATAATGTGTCATTGTGTTGTCTCATACCACAGTATATTACACCATAGGACGGGGCATTGCAATATGTTTGCTGATTATGCTGCATTATGCTGGTTTATTTCTAGATCAGTGTAGACTTGTTCAGACTCTTTTTTCATTATTCGTCTGTGTTCTTGTCTTAGGTATTGCTATTTACGGTTGCTTACATGTCAGTACTCTTTCATATTGCTTCCCTTGTTATTGTTTTCGATTCTACAGTTCTTATGGAATTCGACAGTATCACACGCTGTACAGCATCTTGTATCTTGCCGACTATTTGTTGTACGCCGTGCATTACGTATGACACGTTGGCTCGTGCATTGAAGCAGAATTTCGGTTTCGTGTGCGGCCCATCAAGAGTCAAAATGCAAGCCAGCCATGTCTTCGAGTCGTTGACATCGCACTGCTTTAATGGTTTTCAGATGTCGTACAATGCTGCCAGAGACCAAAATCAAATATGTTTCAATAGGGCAGTGCCATCAACCAGATGGGGTCTTAGAATGGTCAGCGCCATCCTCATCATGCTGAAATGCCATATGGCATTATTGCCGTCGCAGGATCTAGCCTGCTGCATGTCAAGCGAGATGCTGTGCCCTACACCTGATCCTCACAGGGTTTAGGTTTTTGAGACGTCCAACACGCTGGATCAGCAAGAACCCTCGCAGAGCCTAGGGCATTGAGGTGTGGGAAGTCCAGGACTAGAGATCCGCGGCCCATACCTTACACTCTCATTCTGTTATGTGTCTATATATATATATATGTACTAGAACCGCTAGAAAAAAAAACAACAATGACAGCCGTATTAGTATATAACATGACAAAAACAATAGCACTAATCATCACCTGTATAATCAGTAATGAAATTTGAACCCCGGACCCTAAACCCCAACAAGCCGTAAATCCCAAAGCCCTGACCCTAAGGGTGGACTCCGGAGACTTCAGATTTCCTTTCTTAAACATGCCTTCTGAAGGAGCCCCACGACGACCCCGTGATGATTTAAGCGACATTCCTTGACCCTGAACTCGGAAGTCTGAACAGAAACCTCAAGCAACTGAAGCCCAGAAGGGTTTAGGGATTAGGGAAGCATTACACCGTAGATTCAGGGATACTCGAGCTGAAAAAACCTGTATAACCCCTGTAAGTCCTTGAAAACCTTCGTCAGAGAGCCTCATCGTCAAGCGTCTTTGGGAACAAGAAACCCTAGAACCCCACAGCCCCTATAAAAATGTCAGAGACCTATATAAAGAATTATGCAGCCGCACAAAAAAAACTCCGTAATTCCTCAAAATCCCGCAAACCCTAAACCCTGAACCCATCGATTGTTCCAGAGCAGGTGAGCCAGTCGACTCGCAAGCGAAGAAGAAGCGAAGGTTCCGCGGTAGAGTTTCATATAGGGGCCTTACTAATTACCTATACTATCTCGGGGGCTCCTCATTATAAGTAAAGTCTTAATATACCCCAGAACCGTGTTCAAATTATGGGCACGTTGGAGGCTCCAGAGGTTGAAGACTAAAGGCCTTAGGATTTAGGGTTTAGGGTTTAGGGTTTAGGGTTTGACTCACATTCCCACATTTTAATATGTAGGGGCCCGAAGACGATATTCTGTCGTGTAGGGTGTAGGTTTCCGGTTTTGGGTTCAGGGTAGGTCTTGAGGATTTACGGTTTAAGGATGTTCGGCCTTTGGATTCCAGATCGGCGTTCAAAATTCTTAGCAGCACAGTAGAGTAAAGTTAGGTGCCTTTAGCAGAACTCCAAAGCTGAAGCTTTCGTTCCTCGAGGTCCGGGACACCTAAACCCTAAACCCTAAACCCCTAAACCCCTAAATCCTAAACCCTAAACCCTAAACCCCAAAGGGGTGTAAGGGTTTAGGGTAGGAAAGCCTGGCATCC